AATCGCTGGGTATTTTATTTAAAAAGCTACGGTACTATTAGAGCTGCCAGTTGACTCTGTGCTGAAGATATTCAGTTCTAGTAAACCTTTTTTGTATTACTCCGCTATGAGGCAGTTCTTTTTTTTCTTCTGTTACTATTACATCTGGCTTAACTAAGGATCTGAATCATTCTTATCCCTACATTATGTTATGAGAGCAATCGATGATTAAGCCTAGTAGCAGATTTTTCTAATCATAAGAGATGTTTAGTAGAAGTGATAGGAGATAATTTTCAGATTTAATAGTAAATCCGTTATACTAGTAAAAAGGAAAGTAATAGGCATGCAGGGGTGTTTTTGCCTCTCTACTTAATCCAAATCTTAATGAACCATTTTACATTGTAATAGTAATGCTGCCATCTGTCTACGTGGGTGCCTTCTTTCTTACTTGAGGCTGTGTCGTCATCATAGTGATATAATACCTAAAGTAATTTTTATTTGGAATGATTATTTTTTTCTCCCATTTACAATTCATTACTACTATTGTGGGGCAATGTCTTAAATATCTAACCTATTTTCAAAGTTGACTGCCCTTACACAACAATCCCTTATTCTTCTGTAGTTCAAGGTAATGGTAAAAATTTTGATTATCTACATCAAAAGCTAATTTAAGGATAGTTATTGGAAATAGGAAATAACAATGATCCAAAATCCGATAACATTGATTACCATGTTAGGTCTTAAAATCAATGTTTTATCAAAGTAAAGCTGAAATTATACCTAAATATATTTTTTCTCTAGCAAATTTACCACCTGAAGCCATTGTGATTAATATGTGACCTGATTTCATTTTAATATAATAGTTTTTTGAAAATATTCCATTTATCTTTATGGCTACTTTGTTATATTACTAGAGGTTATTTGAACAGCGTGTCAAAAAAAAAACAAGAACTCTAAATTTATTTTAAACTTTTTGAATGGCCTTTATCGTCCTATCATTTTACATATGCAATCTCTTTCGATATTTAGTAATTAACCCTGAAAGATAAATGATTGTCTATTATGAAACAAAATTTCGTAGCTATTACATTTACTTTTATTTGATAGTTGGTTAATAGTATAATTTATAATATGAGCCTGTTCATTACAGAAATATCAATTTATAAATCCTACTACCGTATATTGATATTACTATGCAAGTACTACACAGAAGAATTGAATATATTTTAAACATTTTGAATTCAACGCATCACATTCTTTAAAGGATAAGATGTAAAAAGTTGGATGACGTAGCAGTTTAGATCGTGTCTAAACTATCAAACCAAATCATGTAATTCTTGAAAAATAGATATTATGAAGTCTAAGTTAGTGGCTTATTCAGAAATACAATAGCGATAAAATTTATTTTAATCATAGCGATACTGTATTCATGATCAAAACTGATTAGATAGTTATTACCTTTGCTACAAGACACAGAATGATCGGAAATAGTCTACGGATTAGTAGGTCCGTGATAAAATTGAATAAAGTACATTGAGTTATGCTTTCTATAGTGTAGCGGATAACAGCTTGGATAAATCAGCACTTTTGATAAAGTTTATTTAAAGAATGACAAGTTACACGTTTCTTTGTCAATTTTGTACGAATATTTTATTATATGATTTAAGGATCCTGTGTTATAAAACGATATGATAGATTTCTTCTAGTTTATAAATATCTTCATTTGATCTTGAGCAACCTGCATTAGCTTAACCTCGTTAAGTATAATTACATAAGTATTATACTACATCCAATGATAATACTTATTAGTTCTTGCAAAAGATCACGTCGCTCTTCATCAAAATCGATCATGGCATCTATTCTAGCTATATAAAAAGATCTTTGTTAAAGTCACATTAAGATTTAGGTTAACTTAATATCAATTTGATGAATCCAGTTAAAAATATCTCTTGCAGTCATAAAGCAACCTTTGTTATATCAGTTTATTGGAATATCTATTAACTTTAATAGATATTAGGTTTGCTTAGAAATACGTGAATTATCGTCTGTTACGGATAAATTGAATGCTACTTGACATTGGTATGCACCGATAAAAGTTAGATCTCAGCCATTATCGCTACGACTGAGGAGTTTATGAAGGTGTATTTAATTCTTAGTCATGATCGGTAGTTGTACTTCAATATTTCTTAATATTGTTTCGGAAGCTTATTTATAAAATAATGCGGCTACTTTAGGCGAAAAGGTGCGAATATATTTCTTTATTATCTTTCCCTCTTTAGAATGAAAGATGCTACTTTGCTATCAGCAATATTTCAATTCTTCACCTATTTTATCCCTTGAACTTCTTTGTGTTGTGCTATTATTTTACACAAGATAGTGGTAAAAAGTCAATTATACATGATGAGAATGGGAATTCTATGACTTTGAGGATGAATATTCTATGAATTTAAATGAATAGTTGTTGTTTACCTAATTGGATAGAGTTAATGATGATATTATATCGGAATAAATAGCTAGAGGGGCATAGCTGAATGGTATACTGTAAATAGAACTACCTAGTAATGCAGTTAGAAATTGCTTGTCGCACTTGTCGGTAGAGTATCTAATAAATCTTCAAAGATTTTGTTTTAATGAAGGCATAAATATAAATTAAGAAGAAAATACAATAACAGTTTTTATTGTTCTCAAATTATTTGTTTATGACTGAAGTTGTTAAAATTGAGTGACTACAGAAAATTAGAAATAATTAGATCTACGATCTCATTTTACGAATTGATGAAGAAATAGCCTAATGACGCCAAATTCTTCCTTTATGGCATCGATTTATATTAATACCACAATTAAAATCTACCGGAAAAACTGTTATCAGATCTCAACTCTATCCGTTTTTTAGCTGAAAAATCGTTCCTTTAAAATAATTACGATGTATATTTATCGGATCATAAACATAACGTTCCACATTATTCTACGTAAAGCTGTTAGAAAACAGGGATAAGTTGAGTTATTGTAATGACCAAGTAATAGTCTTTAATTATTACTATAGACGAATATAAATCATCTGGCTAAAGTTCAAATTAAGAGTAAAACATAAGAATTTCCAGCATTAACCGGCTATGCCAATGTTTTAAGTGTAATCTTAGTCATATTAAGAGAGATTTTATACATGGTTATTACACATAATAGCCGGGGTTCGAATTTTAGAAGTAACATAAACACTCGTTCTACCCAAAGCTGCTAGAAAATAGGCTTAAGTTGAGTCATGAATAATTTTAAATTTAATATTTTCTGATAAGGTTATATTCTACGTTAAGTGTAATCGGCTTGTTGCTATTGCATCCATTGAATAATGTTATACGTTAAAAAAAGATTTTTACTAATTACCAGTACGTAATATTGAGTGTAGTAAATTGGATATGCTGCTGCTATCGATGATACGTAAAGAGCTGGCTCGGTACTTAAATTTATTATGCACTTTCATAAATAATTCGGATATCCATTCATTAACTACTTTTAAAGAATTATAGCAATATTTGCTATGCGTAATCTTAGTACAGCATAATATTAAGCAGCATTAAAAATAATTAATCTTTGATAGCATATCGCTGATAATAGTGTACATTCAATCTGGTATTTTTGAGGCCTTGACTCCAATACTAGTGAAAAATCTTATGATATCTAGAAATTTCATGAATGAAATACTTGCTTACTTTATAGCTAACAGTCAATTTTAAATGAAAATTAAATGCATTAATATTATGTTAAAAGTTTCCTCAAATGGTTTTTGACAATACGGGAAATGCTTTTCGGATTTAATACAATACCACTATTTGCTAGCATTTAAGCAGTGACTAGTTAATAGTACTGTATGTTATTAAATATTATTTCTTGTCGCAATCTAATATCCTGCCACGTCCTATAAGTATATCTATCTATACACGCAGTTCTCTCGACAGCACTACAATCACTTATTATGTTAATGTGTACAAATTTCAATGGTACTCACATCCTCTATCAATTCAATTATCATATTTGCCGTCATTTCGACATGAACAAAATTATTTTGACTACTAACGCCATTTTTCCTTCATATTTTAATAAAATTTCGGTTATTTACTGTACATACTGATCTACAGCATCCTGTTAATATTGTAATTAAACAGAATATTTACCTATAATTGTAGAGAAAATTTTAATATTGACAAGGAGTCTGAACCTTTTAATTCGGTGCCGGTACTAATAGACTAGTAATAGTCGCCTCTGATCCATTTTTACTTTTTACACCGGTAATAATAACATTTAGATTTAAGGTGTTCGTTATAAAGCGAACGTCAAGTTTTACCATACTGAGTTTGCTAATGAGACAAATTAATTTAGTTAGATCAATCATTTCTTCCTTTGGTTTTGTTATTGCTTACGCTGAAAAATCTCATTACCATTGATACCATTAATCATTAAATTTAACCCGTATTCCATTTTATTTCCATGTAAATTTATAGTCGAAAGAAGAAATTAGAATGGTTTAAGAATTCCTTCACAGCAGTCTGTGATGATGACGAAAATATTGATCACAGCCAGTTCAAAAAAGCGATTACTAGCAGAGGGGTAAGGTTAAAACTATTTTCGAAATAAATTTCTCGTTCTTAAAAACTAGAGATTATTGACTTTGTCATTGTGATACTTAATTACTCACATTCGATTTTACAATATGGTTAAAATCGAAAATTAGATACTTAACTAATTTTATAATGTTCATTACAGTTCCTTGAGCGATTTTTCTACCTGCTAGATGGTGATAACAGTGGCCGCGTAGCTTTCCAGAAATTAATTGGAAGCTTGGAAAAGTTAACATGGTAAACCATTTACTGACGTCTTTACTATTACAACATCTTTTTCTCGTAGTTATTGCTAACTCATGTTTTATGCGTATATCTTAAAAGATGTAATAATTTATGCGTTATCAAGTCAGGTAGTTATAAATATCAGATGGGGTAATTTATTGATTCTTGTAAACTAATTATTATAGTCTGGATAGAGATGCAAAATGGCTTAGTTGGTTTGAACAGCAATTTGCTGCCGTAGCTGGTGAAGATCGGCAAATCAATATAGTAGAATTTAAAAATGCCTTGAATGTTAAGGAGGTACGATAATTTCCTATTTTAGCTAGACTGTCAATTACTAAACAGTTTTGATCAGATAAGGTAAAGTAAAGCAGCAAAACATATATCTTACATTAAATATCATAATTCTTCACTAGATTCGTCACCATAAAATAGATTCAAATTTAAACTGAATCATTGCCTTACTCCAGTTTAGAAAGTGAGAAATACTTAGTCCAACACTGTTTTATATTCATTTTTTGGTACCTTTAGTCTTTCTTCGCAGAACGCTTCTTTCAGCTGTTTGATGAAGATGGTAGTGGTACTATCAGTCTGAATGAGTTAATGGGCGGATTAAATAAATTAACAAGTGGCGATAATTCGGAGAAACTAAGATTTTTGTTCAAAGTTTATGATGTTGACGGTACGTACAGAGATTAACGCTTAAAATATTTCCGCTTATTTCTTATCAATACTTAAACTGTAGCTCCCGTTTATCTAAAGAGTAAGCTTGGGCATAAGGTTATGATTTAAAGAGCAATTAGTAGGAATAACATTTCGAAAAGTTATAGAATTCATTTTGAAGTTATTTTAAAAATATTCTCGATTAGGTAATGGATTTATTGATCCTTTTGAGTTAAAGACAGTTCTTCAGTCCTGCATAAGTGAAAGTTCTCTAGAATTTAGTGAATCGAACTTGAATGCATTAACGCAGGCGTTGTTCGAGAGCGCTGATGCTGACGGTAGTGGCACCATAACCTACGAAGAATTAGAAGGAGAATTACAGAAACACCCTGGTGTCATCGAAAATTTAACGATTAGGTACGTCATTAGGTTATATTGTAGATTTAATTCCATACACGTATGAAAGTTATTTATTATCCTTTAAATTTCGGTAGCCAAAATGATATATAATGTAGAGATCTTACAGTGTCCCTATTACAACGTATGCGTACATTCGCTGTAGTTACTTTAAGGGAAGATAAAAAGCAACTACCGTATTTCCGAGGATAATTTTTCTGATGTATTTGTGTGAATCTACTCTATCATTTCTTTACTATTTGCGAACAATTTAAAGGATAGTTAGGATACTTTAATCAGATCAATACAGTTATGCTGGGTGTTAAAAATGAGAACTAATGTTATCGTCAGTTTTTAATATATTCGTATAATACATAATATGGGATCGAATAATGTAGCATGATGTACATGTATTCATATGTTATTGAGTTTAATTTACTTGTAAATAGAAAAAATGTCTTATAAATTAACTTTATCCACTATTAGTGCTGCCAATTGGCTTAAACCACCACCGAAAAAAAAGAAAAATTCTTTAAAACAAATTTACCCGTATTATTTAACCTTGCGTTATATTCGTAACAACTTGAGTATCACATTATTTATGATTGTTTATTGGTTGACTAATTTTGGTTTATTTGGATTTGCTGTTTACCAGCAGCGAGAGAAAAATATTTGGATCAAGATAGCGCGTGGTTGTGGCTTATGCTTAAACTTTAATTGCACATTTATTATGGTTTTGATGTTAAGGAAAACTTTAACTATTATTAGATCAACGACTTTAGGCTCTTATTTGCCAATTGATCAACATATTGATTTTCATAAAATGACTGGAATTGTTATCGGATTCTTTGCCTTGGTACATACTGTTGCTCATGTCTTTAATGTTGGTTAGTATGAACTTAATGGATAAATTATAATCGAAATTCTGATATCGATACAATTCAATAGAACTGATGATAGACTTTATAATTATGATTACATCGGTTAAGTACTGCAATAGGCAGTGTTGTTAACACATTATTCGTAGTTATATGGCCCAAAATTTTGAACCTCCTAAGATATTATTGCATGTTAAAGTGTTTGAAAATGATTCAAATTTTAATTAAATCAGTAATAACTTGACGATTTTGTATTTTATTTTCCTATCATCAGTTTTACCAGATCCTCCAAACAATCGCAGTGCTGTTGATGTCTTATTTACAACCAAGTACAAAATTGGTTGGGTTGGTGGAACTGCTTACATAACTGGCTATCCCTTAGTTATTATCTTGTTAGTTATGATTATATGCTCTATGCCATTCGTCAGGCGGAAAGGTTATTTTCAGGTGAGGAGCGTATAGCCAATAATCATATTTCAACATTGTTGTGTTTTAGACAGTATGATTAATTAATTTCTGATCGCATATAGGTTTTTTATTGGACGCATTTATTATTTGTACCTTGGTTTGCTTTACTGATAATACATTGTCCTAATTTTTGGCATTGGTTTATTGTACCTGGATCCATCTATGTTTTAGAGAGAATTTATCGTTCCAAATTCGTTAAATTAGCGAGATATGGTAGAACATATATTATTGCAGCCAATATGCTACCTTCCAAGGTAATTGATCCTTAATATAAGGATTAAAATATATGTAGATTGAATTACCTAAAAGTATAACATTGATTTTTCTATCGTTACATATAGGAATGTATTATTTGATAGCTTCAACTTTAATTAAAATTGTTTTGGATTACGGTTAAATCATTTTATGCTATTTTAATATAATAAATAAATACTTGTGCATGTATATTTTTATCTAGGTAACACATTTAGTTATCAATAGGCCGAGTAACTTTCACTTTCAGCCTGGAGACTATGCCTTCCTGCAAATTCCTGCGATTGCTAAATACGCTGAATGGCATCCTTTTACAATTAGTAGTGCACCAGAGCAAAAGCATACATTATGGTTCCATGTTAGATCAGTTGGCACCTGGACAACAAGGCTGTATGAATATTTTGAACGAAAGCACGTCGAAGCTGGTAGTGATGTTCCACCTTTATTGTCGCCTAAAATTCCGAAGGTAAATAGCTATCATTATATGATATCATATCTATTCGTTATATTCTATTACGGTACTTTATTGATAGAGAAACAAATAGTGCTGGAATATTTTAATAATATCATGGGTTTTACTCATTATTTGTAGAGAGAAAGCAAATTCTCCAAAGGAAGCCGGGCGATGAATTCATTCATGAGTACAAATTCGTCTTTAAGAAGTTTTGATATGACAGAAACGAATACTGGCAATAGTCGTAATTCATCATTTAACGAAAGTACAATAGGAACGCCAAAATTTTCCGACAGAAACGGATTTAAAAATATGAAATCAGAAGCAGTAGAAATTGCTAGTTATGGCATTGATAACGCCGCATTCACCGCCGATGATGAAAATCAAAATGAGGCCCTAGAAACAACACCATTATCGCCTACGCATCGGCAAGATCGAACAAGAAGTAGCAGTGTGGATATCAGTGATCAAAAGGCAAATAAAAAACATCTCAAAGTCAGGAGAACTCGAAGTGAAGCAGTCAGCGATTTAGCTCGCGAAGATATATTAGGCCCTATCGAGGCAGCAGTAGAGAAAGAGATGCAAGTTTTTTCGCCAATGCCTTCTCCTGCCCATTCGGCTGTTAATTCTGCAGCTCCATCACCGGTTCATTCTGATGCTCCATCACCAGTGGCACCAATTCGATATTCTCAACTGCCTTCAAAGATTTATACTCCGGTTATTTCTACACAACCATCTCCTGCTCAATCACCCGGTCCATCGCCTGTAGCTACTTCATTCGGTATTGAATTGAATTCCTTAGATCAAAATAGAGGATCAGTGAGGTCGATGTCATCAATTAATGTTAACCGTGCCAACAGCTTAGACAGGAAGTTTTCTACAGCTAGTCAGTCTTCAGTTAAATTTTCTGGAGATCCTGCAATAGCAGCAAAACGAGTACCTAACTCGTTGCAAAGGATGTCAGCTATTCAAGATGATCTTATTGTGGCAGTTCCGTTGCAAAATGATGGCGGAGTTGGTAGTGCTACTAATTCAGGCCAACAGCTCGCTGCTGGGAATGGCACTAATAACGGGATCCTAAAACCAGTCTGTCCTAATTCTGGAGAAATGAGAAAGAGGCAAGTGAGTATTGCCATACCAGAAGACTACGAGATTCGTGATTTCCAGCGACGTCGATCTGCAAGGAAAAGCGTTGTTGGGACAAAAGTTGAAGTAAGAACCGTAATTTAATTTCGAATTCATAAATATATCACTAAAGAATGGGCCTTCGGAATAAATAGCAGATCCAAATAGAAATGTGTCTTATTGTACATAAGTGAGAATCTCTTAAGCGTAATTATTATATTTTATATAGGTATTTATTGATGGTCCTTATGGTACACCGAGTACACATATCTTTCAAGCGGATCACGCAGTTTTAATCGGTGCTGGAATAGGAGTTACTCCATTTGCGTCTATTTTACAGAGTATCATATTCCGATATCGAAGTGCAGCAAGACAAGTTTGCCCTCAGTGCAATTATACTTGGACTGATAAACTGCCATCATCAGTTATGAACCTAAAAAAGGTGCCACTTCTATATCATAGATTTACATAAAGCAACATGGAATATCATTTGTATCTTCATTTTCTATATCATAAAGGTGTTGTAAAATGTAAATGCATCAGATGCAATCTATGTGCATAGAAATATGAAATCTTAGTTGCAACTCCAGCATGTGAATTTAATATTCCATGCAAAATTTTATAATTTAGGTCGATTTTTTTTGGATCAATCGAGATCAAAAGGCATTTGAATGGTTTATTAGCTTATTAAGCCAACTTGAAATTGAACAAACAGAAGATGGAAATTTAAATCATCTCTTAGATATGCATATGTACATGACCTCAGCATTGAGAAAAACTGACATGAAGGCCATTGGTTTACAGATGGCCCTCGATTTAATTCATAAGAAAAGTGAGAAAGATTTAATTACTGGCTTAAGAACGAAAACAGAAGCTGGTAGGCCTGATTGGAATCAGGTAACTTTCACAACTTTAACAATAAATAACATTAAGGATGCAGACTTTGTTACTAATATGATATTTTTATCTGTTATACTAGGTATTTGATAGTTTAAGCCAATCCAACCATGGAAAAGTATCAGTATTTTTCTGCGGTTCACATCAGCTAGGCAGTCTACTAAAATCTTACTGTCAGAAATACGGCTTTGAATTTCGCAAAGAAAATTTTTAACTGTTTGATATTAACTTTGTCCTCAACTATTTTTATTACGTTAACATTGTCGTAGTATCATAGTTCTTTTAAGGATCACCAAGATTGTTGTGTGTAACAGCTCTAGTGGAAATACTATCTTCGAAAGATTTCCGACTTTTAAAATTTCTGTACTAACAGACCAGAAAAATAGCAATCGTGATATTATCATTTTACAATTCCAATGCAGCTATGCAAAAATACTGGATGCCAAAGATATTTTTGATTGAAACTGTGATATTAGCTGTTTATTAGACTAATCATAATAAGTGGTTATTATACTGTGGCTCGATCTCCCCTCAATTATAACATTATAAAAATGGAGAGAGCTTAAATAGGCATACACTACATAAGATGATTAGGATTCAGATAAGACTCAAGCTAACAGTGATTGCTGTATGCGATATTTCATAAGAAGGATTTTCTTCATTAGAATAGAGTTAACCTCAGTAGCTATTCGTTGATTTTTACCTGTTCCTATCATGGCATTTTAAAAAGACTAAGGTTTATGTTATAAATATTATACCATTGTAATTTTTTGTAAAATTTTCCAAAACGTTGTCGTTTTGGTGCTTAACACTGTTGTGAAGTAAACCATTTATCCATCAATTCTCATACTACCTAACCAGATACATAAACAGATCTGTAAATTTTTAATTACAATCTTTTTATTAATAATAAAAACTGAGTGATCTGACTGACATATAAACACTAACTAAAATTATGCAAATAGAAAGTAACAGTATTTCAAGAAATATGGAAACTTTCTTTCCATCATTATGTATACAGCTTAAATAACCAGACGGTAAACTGCTAAGTGGAAATATAGACTAGCTAAAAAAAGCAGTTCTTGCTTCATATGATTCTTTCTTTAATGAAATTGTATTCTCTACATTGTGATCACTAGTGAATATCTTATAGACGAATGCAATTGGGTTAACCCAATATAAATGATAGTTTTGCATATGAAAACCTTGCAAAATGCGGTGTATTGAGTTATATTATAGGAGTGTTAACTGCTTAAGAGAGCTATTCCTGTCTATATCGGGATATTTTCTAACAATCAAAATTTAAATTTTGCTACGTAAGCAATGTTTTATAATTATCTGATAAGGATTCTGAAAAAGGTGAAGTATTTGAATCTGCTGTGGAATATAAATTACTCTTTGATAGGGTTAATCATGTCTGTACTTGGATACCATATTTTTCAATTTAGCTATGCAAGAGCTGCCAACAAATATTGCAATATTGAAGTTAATCTCTAAAAATTTATTTGGAAATAAACAGATACATTGAGATAAATACTTTAACGATGATAATTATAACACGACGCTTTTTTGCTATCCAATATGCGTAAATGTGTTTAAAAGAAGAGATACTTTTGTAGAATATAATAATTTTACATTATGATCTTAGAAGAGCACATTGCTTATTCGATGTATGCGCTCTAAAGTTGCAATATCTTTGCTACATTTATTATGTGGCTAATTTTGTAAATACTGTAGAAATTCCTGAAAGTTCCCTTTCCGCTCGGGTATACCCAGTTGTCACAGTCATCAAAATAACTTAGATATGGATGTTTAGGTTATGATAACATTTTGTTTTGAACTTTTTAGAAGTATGAACTACTACTTTTGGAATTCTTATTGATAGTAGTAACCGAAGTTACTATGATATAATAATGATATAGTAATATGGTACAAGTAAGTATTGAGAATATAGGAGCTTGACAGGGCTTACAGTCGAAGTAGATTTACGTATGAAATTGTTTATTACCTCGAATGTCCATATTTGATAATTCAATCTTACTGACATGTTTGTTATTGAAATATGTTGATAGCATAGTAAATATGTTTATAAGCAGTGAAAGAGTATATAAGAAGGGCTGTGATCAATAAAAAGTGACTCAGGTTTAGACTGAGTTGTGTGGTTGTTGTATATCGTATTTGTTTTGAGTGAGTTAGTAATTAGCAAGGATTCCACTTACTATACCATAGGCTAGGGAAGTAGTTCTGTGGATTAAAGTAAAGTTTATTTTACAAGTACTCTGTTGTTTTCTTGTGCCGCAAAGGTAGTTGTGGCACCAGTATAATCGACTTTAACAGGCCATTCATTGATTGGTGAAATGCACATGATTCGTTCGTAATTGTAAATAAGATTGCATCTTACGCTACTTGTGGGCAGAAGTATGCTATGCTAAAACTGATTACAGCCACCGATAATTTTAATACGCGTATAGAGCAGCAGCTCTCACATTCCTTGATATTAAATAGTTATACATGCAGTTAATATAGCACACTGCCAGCGAATAATCAGTTTCAGGCATCTTAGTCTCAATTATTTTTCACGCGATCATTACGTAAACACGTGTATATGCACAGACCCTATACCGTATTATATATATATATATATGTTAACCTATGTTATTATGTTATATACTGTATCTTGCATAGGAAATATAGAATTTGTCCACGCGCTAGTTTTACTACGAAGGCAATAAATTTTCAACAAGTCCTTGTTGCTTTCTTGAGCGTTTCTATTCTATAGTATATCAGTGTTTTACTATGGACTACATCGGAAATACAGTATTCGGTTATGAGCTAGTTTTATTACGAGGATAATAAATTGACGAAAAGTTGTTATGGCTATCTTGATATGTTTCTGTCCTATATCAGTGTCTTACCATGGATTTGCTGGTTTTAGGTAATTACTTCCTTGCTATCAAAATTTTAAATGAACGTTACAGTTTAGTTACCGCAGTGTTGATAGTTTGTCCATCTGTCACGGTACGCCGTTACTAATTAAGTAACTGTAAATTAATGAAAGCTTATGAATAGATAAGATAAGGTTATGTGCTATGTTTTAATGCGCTTGTAGCTGATAATAGGATGGTAGGAATGAGATAAAAATAGAAGTTGTTAGCAGTTAATTTACTGTAGGTTTATAAGGTGTGTTAATCTCTAAAAATTGAGCTGTATATGGACGAAGGTTAAGCGTCTTAACACCTGATAGCTTGTAGCTATCTAAGTCTGAGAATATCGATATGTATATTTAGTAATGGTATTATACTAATTAATGTAACTTGTAAAGCATGAATTCTCACTCGTTAATATTGGAATTCACTGTAGAAACCTATTTAAGCGCGTGTGTTTGTAGAATAAAGTAAGTAATTGCTCAAGAAACGGCAAGACTCATATCGTGAAGAATAGTGTAATAATTAGTCAGTTGTCTGTGGAGATCAGCCGAGAAATCGAGTTCTCAAATACTTCTCTCATAGAAACTGAAAGTACTGGGAGAAATAGCCCAAGTTTTAAGTAACTACACTAGAGTTCTTTACTTTCCTTTGCCACAAGTGAGGGTTGTGACACCATCATTACGCCTTTATTAGCAATCCACATAGCTCTTGAATGAGACAAGAATTCAAAAAGAATTGTACTTGCCGCAGTATTGGATCATAATCATTAATTTTATTATTACATACAAACGTACTCCTATATCTTCCATTATATAAGACATAATCTGTTAAAAAGAAAGCGTACAAGTCATTCACATTGGATATACAGATATGCATTATGTACGCGTTTACGTTATGTCTTCAAGTCTGACTTTGAAGGATTGATTAACTATAAGATAGATAAAGCAATTTAAGATTGAAATAGGATTTTAAAATTGTAAAGTAGAAATTGCATGGAATCGTCATGCAGGCTCCTCCTTGCGATATCAAATTGCTAATATACAAAATGATAGCAACAATCAAACCATTTAATACGGCTCATAAAAGGGATACAACGGATGATCGTGATATTCAGGATACTCAACTCCATTGATCTACAGATTTAAATAAAACAATAACCAGATAGAAATATTATTCCAAGAGTAATGTATGTCAATCCAATAAATAGTTAATGAATGGGGGCTCAAAACTATACTTACTACAACAGTAAAAGAGCAGCTTCTCCAATTACGATTGAGAGAATATATAGAGTCCATATCTTCAGGCGTTAAGGAAAAGTCAAAAACCTGCAACATGGACATTTCCCTTCAGTTCCATTTTAATCATCATAATCATAGTAAATAAGCCTATCAATTGAGCGATTACGATGCTTACTGTAGAGCAGACTATAAGGATTGATATTATTAAAATGTGCGTATAGGTGAATTTTAGTACTCGTACGCATGTATACGCGCATCACGCGATTGCTATAAGAACAATTTAAGAAAATTGACTTTGCACATCCTACCTGAGCATTTTCTTTTATTCTTGCAGCCGACTTACTCTTTGGAATAACCGTTAAACCGCGTTCGATTGCGAATCGAATCATGACCTGAGCCGGCGTTTTTCCATATTTTTTAGCAATAGCTTTAATTGTAGCGTCCTCTAGTGGTACAGGTTCATTTTCTTTTTTCTGCGGTCTATCGAAAGATCCAAGAGGGCTAAAAGCTGTCACCGAAATACCACGAGATAAACAATGATCGACCAAAGGACTTTGAGTAAAGTATGGATGTATTTCGATCTGGTTGATGACTGGTTTGATCCTGCAGTTAGCTAATACGTCATCAATTTGCTTACTATTGAAGTTGGATACGCCAATTGACTTGACTTTACCCTCATCCACCAATTCTTCCATCGCTTTCCAAGTGTCATTATAATGAACGTCAGAGTAGATGTAGGAACCGTCAGGATTAGTTGGCTCCCAGTTGGTCAGGCCTAGATTAGCCAATCCTTGAGGATAATGTATTAGATATAAATCAAGATAGTCCAGTTGTAAATCTTTTAAGGTTTTTTCTACAGCGATCTTGACATCTTTAGGTGCATGCATCGTATTCCATAATTTTGAAGTGATAAACAATTCATCCCGTTGGACGCTGGTACCAATTTTTTCGCTTAATGCTTTACCAACCGATTCTTCATTATCGTAGCACATTGCACAATCAATATGCCTGTAGCCGCAATCAAGAGCAGCTTTAACAGCATTACCGACTTCATCGTCGCTACTTTTCCACGTCCCTAGCCCTAAAAGGGGCATTTGATAGCCAGAGCTTAAAGTAATGGATTGTTGCAAGCTCATTTTACGACAAGGCAGAATAGTGGCAATATTAGCTCGAACTAAATACTTGCAAGTAGTTCCAACACTCCGAATGATCATCTCGACAAGTCAGGCGATTGATTTGCTTTGTACAGTACAATGCACACTGCACAGTGTCCTGCACAACATTCTACGGTACTGTAGCAAGCAAGGAAGCACTGTAGCAGCGATTCCGTTGGCTGTCTTTCCGTTCCTTTCGTGTTTTACGACCACTCACAACCAATCCATCGACTGGTGTAATTTCCCCCATAGGCCAAGACCACCATGGCCATCGATCAAGGCTGGAAGTATTATACTGGACTTGCTTTTACAGACTCACTGTTCAATTTTGCCGTTGGCGTGCTGTAGTTGCACGTACTGTGTGACTACGACGGTACAGTATGGACTACTTGAAAGAAGAGAAAGGGCCTTCGAGTAGTCCATGAGTAAGTAGACTTGGCTGTTAGTCCACTTCTAAACTGACTCTTACTCTTGACTAAGGTCCTTCGCCAGGGTAGTGAAAGTAGTGACGCTTGGTAGTAGATTTACAATACGGTACAAGGTTTTACAGGTCATCAGAGAAGAAGAATTCATGGTAACGAACGAAATTTGTGACATTGGCGTACAGTGATTGTACAATGTACACAGTACAGTACACTGTACAGTACAGTATCATAGACTAGAAGAAGAAGACCTGGTCTGATCACTATAGCTCATTTTGTTCAATCTTGACATATTTACTTGACCAAGTATATTGAAGGTATACTGTACACTCTACATCCTTTCAGAGGCATATTTGGATGTGTCGCAAGGAAATGTTACGGACTACTGTAGTGGACATACTGTCATTGCACGAAAAAGGAAAGGACCGAAAGAGGGACTTCTGCGACCGTGGACTACATTGTACTGTACAGTATTAAAGCTTGAACCTACAGTACAGTACTGTACTGTAGAGGACAGGACAGTCTCACTGTCACTGGGTGCTTTAAACTACGAAAGATATTTATACTATTGACAGCATTTATTTTGTAGTCCACTAAAAAGAGTACGGCAGCTAAGCCAAGGGCATATACGTATTACATAATCAGACATTTTATTTCCATTGAAAATTTTGCGACACCGGTCTTTTTTTAGCAAGCAATCCATGGCATAGCGTAGGGTACAGTACTGTATACACTATACAGTACAGTATACTGTACCGTGCGAGTGTATGGTAAGACCGTAAGAGTATGATTGCGGTTGGTTCGACATCACTCACTGTTTTTTTCACATTTTCTTTTATTCAAAAGTTTTAACATTCAATCGAAGTAACTCTGTCATTATAGGCTATAGTTAATCGCCAATTTGTTTATTTAACCGTTAATATGTTCTGCAATAAGCATAAATATTCTATTATGAAATGTTTCCATCCAATTTATCAGTAAATCCCATTACTTCGTTGCAACTCATTCCGTGCTCCCTATTATACAGTGTACAGTACTGTATCGTTCTACAAATACTGTACAGTAGAGACCCTGAAAAGAGACTCTATTAAGGGTCTCTAGAGTACAGTACTGTACAGTGTAAAGGGACTACTAGTACTAAAAAGAGAGGGACGCCTTGCGGCCGTTCAGTCTAAAATCACGAATAGGCTGATCATTTTTCTGGTCATTCTACTATACGCTAGCAGCGAAACCGTACAGTGTATCGTTCCAGACATACAGTACTGTAAAGAGGTTCAGCCGAGATGACTAGCAAGATAGTCAGCCCACTCATTTTTAGTACACTGAACGACCGTTGTCGGTCCGTCCCTTTCTTCTTGGTAGTCCCTACTAACAGTTCTGTAGGCTTATTTTTAATGTCTGACTTAGTAATGCTCATTAGCCTCGTCTTGAGCGCTTGATCGAATTATTTTCCTAACTGTCGCAAAAGGCAATCTAAAATGAAGTAGTGAACTGCAAGTAAAGCCATTATTGTTTTTTTTTTTTAATGGGTTATAAACATTAGCATGATATGATATTGAACTGGCGTAGCATAACTGTACTGTACAGTGTCTACAGTACAGCCAATGCATGCATTCAGGATTTATTTTATTTAATTTTATTACTTGTCTGTATGAATAGGCGCACAAACAACGCAAGCATTAATAATAATGCGGACAAGTAATGCATCCGATATGCATAATTACTTGTATGCATCTGTCATTTTACTCCACTTTGCTGGCTCTCATACATACAGAACCCATTCTTTAGCTTGACAATCGTATGCATGAGTGAAGCACTTCCAATAGTAAGACACTGCAAGTAAGACAACATTAATTTTGTACCTATATGTATTGCAGATGCCAACGTAAATGCAGGAATGGTGATCAAAAAAGTTTGATAGATATTATAGTATGCGTTATGGCAAAGTACTGGACCTTCTATTGTAGACTAATGTTTCTGCCTTTATAAATGCTGCAATTTGACGGAAGAAAAGGATAAAGAATTCATTGATGACTTATTAAGATAGCATTATTACAGTATGTTTCTTGCACCATAGTTTCTCTCCAAATTTTGTTTAATACATAGGACACAAACAGCTGACATACAGTACATATATAGAGAAACTATATCGAAAAGCACATTTTGCAATCAATTGACCAAAGAAGTAGAATAGATTTTCCTTATTATACTCCATTTGAACTTCTTTATTATATCATTAATTAAAAATAAATTTTCGGTAAGGAGTGAGAAGGAGCTGTGTCTTACAGGTAGTAAACAGCCAGGTTATTATATAATGTTCTTTTACACTACTATCATAATATTTGTATTGTAGTCCGGAATTTAACAACATTACTTGCTACGATCGGATTTGGCTGATCTTCAAAAAAAATGACCAAGGCGAGTAAAAGGAAATTATAGTAACACAATTTAATCAATTTTGATGCCCGAATATGTAAGCATTGATAATAATTAACTATCATTTGTATAATTAATACGTACAACAGCTATTCAAACTTACAGTGAATTGTGACAATGTACCAAACCGACATTTTACGTATATTATAAAGATAGCAAGAAGAGATAATTCATCAGAAATTGTCTGGTTGGGGGGGGGGGGTAGTTTGCTATAACAATCATTTATTGGTAGAGCTGTAAGTATTTCACTTATGCCTGATAGATTAAAGTACTTTTCCAAAGTGAATATCGCCTATGTGTGTACCGATAATGAGTCTAATTTCTTGACAGTAACCTTTTAATCATTTGTTTTAGAAATTTCTTGATGATGTTGTTAGCATAATTATTATAGCTGTGCTGTAAGTAACTTTTCAGATACTTTAATATACATGTAGAATCCTTTGGATCTAATCTTAATTCTGAGTCTGTTGCTCAAGACGAAACCTTATCATTTACTATATGATATGGTAGCTCATTTTATGGCATCGATTACTCTTCGATGCATTATTGTAGAAAACACAAGGTCCATACAATACTGTGTATTGATTAGCGCGAAATTATCGCAGATAATTAAAAAAAATAAGCAATTAATCAGGTAATATCTAGAAACTTGTTCATAACTTAAACAGTAGATATTTCAATATGTTCAGATTTGCTAAATCTACTTATAATACGATAGGATGCTTTTCGAACTGATATTTTACATGCTACCAATATGCGCTCTCTTATACTTAAATTAAAGTAGCCATAAATGATTGCATTATAAGCGATGGAAGAGTAATTGAAAAATATTAAAATGTTAATAAGAATTCCGCTGTAAGCACGATCTATTGTTAGTTGCTTTAAATCCATAAGGAGAAAAATAGTATAATAAGGGGTATTGAAGATAATGAATGATAGGAAGCAAGCGACGAGTAATTTAATAGCTTTCCTATTTTTTCTCAGCCTTTCTTGTAAGTGGTGAATATTGATTTGAGTACGATCACATGGAGCTTTACTAAACCATAATGTGTAGATGGTTTTCGAATATAGCACAATCATGATAAGCGCTGGTATTAAAAAGGCTAGCGATCCAAAGAAGATCCAATTAATCAGCCTTGACAATTCGATTGAAGATAAAGCTTTACCGGTTGTTTCATTTCTAGTAAGGACAATATCATCCGGCGACTCTGGATAGATTGGTATACAATAATTTCTGGATTGATATTCATATAATTCGTTAAAGCTAGCATAAGGTGCAAAGTATGCTAGTGATAACATCCAATAGCCAAATATGAGAAAGGTAGTTCTACATTTACTAAGTTTTAAGTATTTTTTAAGAGGATGGACAATCGCTATATAGCGATCTACGCAGATAGTTGTTAAAGTTAACGAAATGACCATTACTCCAGCGGTCGGTAATAACTGCTGGAATTGACACATGGCGACAGAAAAGGGATAATCCATATTGAAATGCATTAGAGAGAAAATTTTAAATGGAACTCTCATTATGCCAATCAGTAGACTTGCTATTGCTATATTACAAACCAATAAATTCATCGGAGTGCGTAAAGGAGCCTCTTTAAAAATGACTAATGCTATTAAGGCATTACCGGGTATAGAAATTGCCAACATGATTATATAAATTACAGCAATACCGATATCGACAATTGGTGATGGTCCCATTTTTTATGCTTCACTTTCAATTTAAATATACTCTTTATAGCTTATCGATTTGAAGTCGACCTCTTTCACCAAGTAGCTGCGATCTTACCGAGCTTAAGCGATAATGTGGAAAGATGATTAGGTCGTTATATTTAAAAGGATGATTCGGTAGTAAATTAATCAGCTCACCAATAAGCTTACGCTTGTGTAAAATATTTTTGTACCTACGAAAAAAAAATAATAATTTTATATGGTATAATTGGCTAGTAAATGATTTTTTGTTTTCCATCGAACTATGGTTATTAAAGATACTTATATTCATTATTTTCTCATATTATGTATTACTAATTCTATTTAATTAAGTTACAGTAGGAATTAATCATAGGTTAAATCGCTGGCCATACTGTTTTTATTATTGGCTTTATTACAAAAATGGTCTAAAGAAGCCTTTGATAATGAAAACACCTGGTGCATCATTATTGACATAAATTAATCTATAAATGTGTTTTATTTTTTCTCTATTATAGTTCTATCAAAGTTCACGTAGTAATTGAATTTATGCGATACCCAATTCGTTACGGTAATTAGTAATAATTTGAGTGTTATTTTTAAACTTTGCTATGATTGAAAACGCTACATGTGGTAAATGTAAAGGCAATAATATAAATAGCTTATCCCCAATAAAAATGCTAGTTCAAGAATTGACAATTATAACATAAAGAGGGCCCTATAGTAGTATTGCTACAGTAAATAGGTTAACACATATGACTAAAGATTAAAATTTCATTTCTGAAAGCGTAGGTGGCCAAGTTAAGAGTTAAAAATAGAAAATTTCAACTTCTACGTAATCTATGTACAACGTTCACGCAATCCGCTTGTTGATATCAAAGCTAATGAATTTTTCTTAAATGATTCAGCTGCATAATGTAGAGCGTAGTAAAATAATTAGAAGTTTATAATATTTATTCAAAGAGTGACGATTCTAATATAACAACTATAATATTGTAAAGGAGGCGAACAATATTGGTAAGATCAATCTTACGAAATTCATAACGCGATTATTAGTTGTTAGATATACCATGTTGCAATAGATTTATCACAGAATATCAAGGATACTGTTTGATTCTGTCAATGTAGGTTAAAGATTTGGTTGTAATAAGAGTATCAGAAACCAAGTTTTTGTCGTGTCGTTCTAGCAACTTAATGTAAAATTTTAATGTTGGAATCTTTATGGTGCTAAGTTTGTATTTCAATTCATTTTCTTTGCTAATTGTTATTTTATGTGTTTTATTCGTATAATTTCCTAATTCATAGATTAAATTTTGTTGCACGATCCTACTTTTAATATTCTTTATTGAAATCGGTAAGTTGTCAATACACTCGTTAAACATGTATAAGTCGTGTATGTATAATTATAGTGCTGCTTCTATCAATTTTTCAAATACGGTACTTTATTTATTAATGGAATGCATTTTACTTACTTACGTAATTTTTTTTATCTCAGATTAGATAAGAAACCGTCATTAATCTCTCAATTCTATCTGTGCATGCTTTCATTACTATTTATATAATGGTATGCTTTGCTGGTGTCGTTAATGTCGTTATACTGTAGCAATGATGTTCTAATAATAAAGTCATAATACAGCAAAATACAACTAAGAATATTGCAATGATTTAAGCAGATAAAGTTGTTTTTTTGCCTAAAAGTGTTGCAAATCGCAATTTGTGAGGATGAAATACATCGTACTTTTCTTGTATTAGTTGTATAGTTATATATAGCAGAGAGATTAAAGGCATAATATACTCGATATGATACTTGTACGTTTAGTCTTGAGGTAAAGTACGTCTTATATGGATTTAATTATGATGACCTCAAGGCTCTTATGACTACTGTAGAATTTACATGTATAAGTTTCGTGGTTGGATCAAAATTAAATGAAATGAGCTCGAAAATTTCTTCCACTATTGTAGACATGGCAGTATTACTCTCGTGGTATGACCAGAAGTAAAAGCTCATAAACTAATCTTACAACAAGCCGCTTATTATACTTGTGAGGAAGTTGTTAGTCTTGCTTACAGTATCCATAGTTAGTTGGTGACTAAGTAGCTGGTAAGTTAGTTGTTCGCTCACATTAGAAGAGAGTAGTCAGTGGTATTACTCGTGTGGGTGACAATGGTCTATCTGTTGTTTTCTCCTAATAAAAAACAAACCTGAACCTATCACAAGTTTTAGCTGGATTGGCAATTCTAGTATGGCTAACAAGTAAGTTTGAATATCCGAACATGTGCGTTAAAGTAGAAACCGTACTGTCGGCCGTACATTAGTTAATTTTTCACTTTCATGCCATTAAAGTTAAAATTAAATGAAAAATACATAAACGGTTCCGGGAGGAACTGTTAATCCAATGATTTGCTGATCTTATCACTAAATCATTTATTTAGGTCAAGGTTGAACTTTAAAATTGATCAAGCGGTTCAAGGCTAGAAGTGTTATGTTAATC